TTCTAATTTTAAATTTATCTGATCTCTGAATCTAGTAGTCGATCTGTATAATAAAATCTTCTGAGTTTTGATATTTAAATTTTATATTATATAAGCAAAGATTTTTTATTAAATAAAATATTCTATATGGTTTGATTAATATAATGAATAAAAAAAATTATTTTTGAAAAATTTTTGATTTGTCTCTTTTCTATTGACTCATCCCTATATAGTCCAACTAGCAAATATATAGAAACATGTCAGTAGCAATTTAATAATTCGAATATGTGAGAAAAATTCTATATACTTAAATCTGAAGACTTTATCTGCCAGAGCTTTCTCTTCTTTTTTAGTTTTATATCGCAATTAATCCAAAAAGCATTCACTTCTAACAAATTTTTTTCATCCTTACAATAATAAAGTATTGTTGATTAGTATTTCAAATTATTTTAATAAATATATTAAAGCTATGAGTATTATTTAAAAAATAGCAATTGACTTTCAGTCAAAAATATACTGCAACTCATAGTTTAGTAGTATCTTACTATTTTTGGACTACTGATAAATCGATATTGACACTCAGTCATCACTATACAACTTCACGATTCACTAGTATGTAGCAATATTAACTTATAGTTTACCAAGAATATTAAAAATTCTTGGCTATTGGCAATTCTTTTAAAAAAATAAATACAACCTTAAAGTCTTTCCATATCGACTTCGCCATTTCGCCTCTTGCCCCACCTTCATCAGAAATCTTTTTTACCAAATCGAAAAAAACGCTATGTTCGCGCACTTTATTGGAAAAATCAGCGAAATTTGCTCTCCATTCGAGATATCCCAAAAGCGACCAGTTGTTTGGGTGAGTTTTGTTAAAATATTCCATCTTGTCAGTTTTGTTCTGCGAAAGGGTATAAAGAAAGCAATCAACACCTTCGGACATAGCTTAATAAGTTTATATAGAATTAAGTAACGCGATCAATAGATTATAAGTCGCGATTCATCCACGTGATTAGGGTTATAAATAATGCCGGGAATTCTACGGACAGAGCTTAGGGACAGATTTACCAGAATTTTCGACATAATGCGGGCCAGAAGTTACGTTACCGAAAATTTTTCTTGGGTAGTTACAATCTTTTACGTGAGTGATGATTGTTTTACATCCGTGATTCCATCCATTAGTAATTTTAAAAAAAAATTCCTTCCTGTCACACAAATTGTGATGAAAAAAATTGAAAGGTAACATGACGAAGTTTCTATGCTGCAGTTAATTTGAAATTTACTAGCATATAAGGTAAGTATGCGAAAAAAAAAACAATGAATTAATATAAGGCTATTGGTTATAAGAGATCGAAACTTTTGGATGTTAGACAAACAAACTCCTTAATTTTTTGGATCCTTTAGGAATAACAATTTCTGGTTTTTCATCATACCATACTTCAAGAAGGAAAATTCCATTATCTAGACAAATGCAACGTTTTTGCCGATCACGATTAATGATGCCTTCGAGTTTTTTAACATCCTTATACCAGCTAGTGTTATGAAGCCGATGCTGAGCTCCTTGCACCTCCAATGCGATTCGATATCTTTGGAAGAAGGCATCAAGCTCTAATCCATTTAAGAAGAGGGGACGATATTCAATCATAGGTTCCTCATTAAGAATTTCCTTAGTTATCTGAATGCATCTAGTCTGAAATTTGCGATTTTTCTTGGATTCCAGTTCCTTTTCATATTCTTCTATAATTGATTTATTCTTTGTGTTCTGAACTTTGATTTCAAGAATTAAAGCCTCAATACTCTCAAGATGGTCTGGGTATTGCGAACTAAGATGTTTTAATTTTACTATATAACCCTCAAAATCTGTGTAATATTTTTTGGTAGATTTTAGAAACTCAGCTTTCTCAGCTTTAAACTTGGCATTCTCAACTTCAAACTCGATAATCTTAGCCTTAAGCCTGATATACTCAGCATTCTCAACCTTAAGCCTAGCATACTCAGCTTCAAGCTCAGCTTTTTTAACCAAAAGCTCAACTCTTTCTTGTTCTGATGATTCAACCTCAGGTTGCATGCTTTTATACACAAAGGGAATTATTCAATGTTTTGTTGCGAATGTAAAAAAAGACTTGCTTTATTAATACAGAAATAAAAAAATAATTACAATGATCGAGACTTTGCCCGGGATATATGATTTTTTTTATGTTATTGTCTATACATATGATTATTTTTCGAACAAGACAAGACTATCTTATTTATCTTTTGTTTTTACCCGCTTCAATGAGTGCTTAATCACTATAGGTCAGAAAAGTCATAGCACCTTTGCATTAGTAAAACGGTGGACAACTAGTCATTTACCGGTATTTTTGTTTAACATTAATTATTCGAGAATTTTCACATATACATTGCCTATATATTCCATCCGCTACTTTTTTGCACGTTTTACAATATAGGTGTGAATGATGATTGCATTCGTCACAAACCTTACACCCGTGCTTCCACCCTCTAAATATATGCCACTT